ATTCAAATTTTCAGAAAATAAAATAATATACACATAAATTATTATCAATGAACAAGACAATAAACACAGTTTACATAGATGTGAAATGATCCCCAGCATAATCATGCCATCATCTACATATAATGTGTATGGAGACATGCTCAAATATAATAAATGAGATAAAATTAAATAGAAGTTCATTAAAATTAATAAATCATATATACAAATGGCTTATTGTCAATGAACAAGACACCCACAGTATACATAGATGTGAAATGATCCCCCAGCTTGATCATAGTAAGTGTCATCATCTACAAATAATGGAGAGCTCATAGATAGTAAGTGAGATAAAAATTAAATACTAGAAGTTTTAAATTATTTTAGAAAACATAAAAATAGACTTATCAACAGCAAAAAGAACCATCAAACACAGTTATATAGATGTGAAATGATCGCACAGACTTAATCTTTAGTAAGCTACATCGTCCATAACTAATGTGTATGAGGACATGGTTCAAACAAAAAAGTGGGAGATGAAATCAAAAATAAGATTTCACTCAAATTTTCAGAAAATAAAACAATATACACATAGCTTATTATCAATGAACAAGACACCAAACACAGTATACATAGATGTGACGTGATCCCCTGCATAATCACAGTAAGTGTCATCATCTACATATAATGGAGAGCTCATAGATAGTAAGTGAGATAAAAATTAAATAAAAGTTCATTGAAAAATAATATACAAATAGCTTATTAACAATGATAGGACACCCAACACAGTTTACATAGATGTGAAATGATCCCCCAGCTTGATCATAATAAGTGTCATCATCTACTTGTTATGCGTACGGATATAATGCTCAAAGAGAATAAGCAAGATAAAATGTCATAATGTGTATGGAGACATGCTCAAATACAAAAAGTGAGAAAAAGTTAAATAAAACTTCATTGAAAAATAAGAAAATGTGTACGGAGGCTCAAAAATAATAAGTGAGATAAAATTAAATAAAAGTTCATTGAAAAATAATATACAAATAGCTTATTAACAATGAACAAGACACCAACCACAGTTTACATAGATGTAAAATGACCCCCCAGCTTGATCATAATAAGTATCATCATCTATATAAAATGTGTCCAGATATAGTGCTCAAAGAGAATAAGTGAGATAAAATGTCATATAAAATTTAAAATTTCTTGGCAAAACAGAAAAAAAATAAATTTTCACATAGATGTGAATTGTGAAATGATCCCTCAGACTTTTAACCACAGTAGACTCATCATCCATGTACAATGTGCATGAAACATGTTTGAATACGATAAGCAAAATCCCATATAAATTAGTATGTATATTGTAAATATATATACTGTATAAAGTTATTTTTCGAAAAGCTAGTCATCAAAGTCAATTTACATAGATGTAAAATAATTCCTCAGGCTTCGTCCCAGTAGATGTCATCATTTATGTATGATGTGCATGCAGACATGCTCAAAGATTACACATCATACCTATCCCTACCTTCTGGAGGCAACACTTTGAGTTTTCGGTAAACAGAAAAACCTAGGAGGCTAATACATACAAATACCAACTATTGATATTTGGGAAGCTTAGAAAGAAACAAAGCAAGCAGATATCAATACCATCCATAGCAAAAACTTAATCTTTAACTTTTTAAAGATGCAAACCTCTCTTAGCTTTTCTAAGTTTCCAACAGAGACAGATTAAAGATATATACCTCTCTTAAGCTTTCGAAGATAGAATCTTCTCTCCAAACCAAGCAATTTGTAACAACTTTTGAAGGAACTGGTTTCCTGAATAGATTTTTTCAATTTATAATTTAAAAGTTTGAAAATTTTAGGTCAAAACCAATAATCTAAACACTGATTTAGAGTTTCAAACCGTCAAACAAATTCAAAACAAAACTAGGCTTTCAATTCGAGTTTTGAAATTTTTTACTCAAAACTAGGGTTTCTGATTCTAAAAGCAAAAAAATAAAATCACAACAAAATAGTTGACGAGTTGGAGCGAAACATACTCAATTTCAATAAAACAAAGAACGTAAGGTTTACTTGCAGTAGTTGAATCTGATCAAACTTCCATTACTCTCTCGCACGCATAGAAACCCCCAACAATCATTAGAAGGAAAGAGAAAAACTAATTAATTAAAAATATAATTTT